TCTTATTTGAATTAATGAATGTATAATATATAAATTAATTTAGCAAGAATTTCAATACAATTATTATCTATATTCTGATGGATATCCTATTAAACATAATTACTCTTAATAAACATATATTTTTCATCCTTCTGCCAAACTTATTACCAAAACTATGTAAACTCTTTCTCAGAGTATAACAAGCTGCACTGGGATTGAAAATTTTTGAAAATTGCTGCTGGGATTGCGGGATTGTTGTTCTACATATGTGTGTATGTTGTGTGTGTGTGTGTCCTCCCTCCAGACCCACCTCCTCTGTATCGGGAGTATAAACTGTAGTAATTTTCTACTTGGCTCTCCGCCCTGAACTGTGTGCTGCCGCCTGGCAAAAATTGGTTTGAAAGTTGACTTGACTCTTTGGTGTTTTCCATGTAATCGCCTGATGCCACATTCCCGCACCACCCAGAACCACTTAACCCACCACCCAGCACCACCCATTGAAGGGGTAAGCAGCCAAGCAGTAAATCGCGCTGACTGCTGCAAATGTCCAGCGCTTAGAATTCCCAAAACCCGGAAAATCCCCCTGCTCCGCTCCGTTTTGTTCTGTTTTTAGCTACACGCCCCGGAGGCAGGGCCGATCGGCCCCGATTAATGCCTCATCATTTGGGAAAGCGGAAAAAGCTGGAAAAGCGACGCAAATTATCTGACTACGACTTGGACAGGGCGTGCCAGCCAAGTCAATCGCCTTCGATTGTCTCGACGACTGATGGGATTGTGTGTGTTGCAAGTGGAGAGGTCCCAGGTCTCATTTGGCCAAATGGCTGACAGATGCGCTCCCAGCTCCCAGCTCCTCTCCAGCAGGATTCGTCGTCTCCATGTTGATCATATTTTACTGAGGGTAAAGTAAAACAAATTCAAGCAAAAGATAAGTAAAGTTCCCTTTTCCATCATACTATCTTGTAGCTCAAACAGAAGCCTCTTCTGGTCCAGCTTTTGTTGTCCCACTAATCCTGGTTCCATTTACTCAAACAGTGTGCTGAGGGCAACCGCAGGACTAAATCAAATAAGCCGCAAAAATATCATACACAAAGAGAGAGAGCTAACAGACAATGTCTATCATAAGGCCAATTAATCTGGCAATGCAATATTATGATGGTGTCGATTACCCAAGCAGACAGCCACGAGCCATCGACACGTGACCAAGGATATATGTATATATTGTACATAGCTTCTTTCTTCTTTGAAAGGACATTGCTCCAGCAAAAGGCTGGCTGTCAGCTAAGCCCGTGCATAATGTTGCCTAAATGCGAACGCATGTCAAACTCAGCTAGCAAATCGCCCGAATAGAACTTACAGGGAGAACAAATATTGTTTTCATAATAAATAAAAGATTTTATCTATCTGTATAGAACTGTATAATAATCTGTATAATCTTACATATAATAAAAGCATTTAAGACTTGGAAATACATCTTTAAACTCCGTCTCAAATTATATATAGATACTTCTGTCTGATTTTGCTTACCTGAAATCTCCTGATATTTCTTTGCGTGCATCCACTGCCAAGTTGGTTCTTCGGAAGCATCTTGAAGCTGCCGATCTCTGGCAGACTTCTCTCTCCAAATCTGCCGACATCAAAATGCTGGGACTGGAGGAGGCCAACTCTTTCGAGGCCTCCTCAGCGGCGGCTCAAACGGAGGCCGCCATTGTGTGTCCCGGGGACCAAATGATGTGCCAAACTGACACTTGCCGATACACACAGATACGGCCACTCAAACACCATTAAGGCGGGTGTTGGTTGCATCGCGGAGTGGGGGGGGGGCTATATGGCTATATAGCCATATATCGGAACATCATGGCATCGGGGGAGCTCTAAGCTAAAGCTAAGCTGCTGGCATATTCCTGTTGATATTTGCCAGAATGATTGTTAGTTTTATTTTTATTTTGTGACAATTTCAGCAGCAGCAGCAACAGCAGGAAATAATAAAAATGCAAACAAATCGTTAGATTTTCCTATTCAAGTGTTTTCCACTACCTCGATTCCCCCTTCCCCACAGTGGTTGTTGTTGGTATTATTGCCTTTTGTTGCTTGTGTCGATGTTGCTGGTGTCGTTGGGCATGTTGTTTAGGTGCACAGTGGATAAATTGAACAATAACCGGGGGTTAATCAGAGGAACTAGTTTTTAGAAAATGAATATTAAATGTTGGAGAAGTAAGTAAAGGAAATACCATTTAACTAAACATAATTTGGTAAAAACAAGATGGGAAACTAACTTCGGGAAGCTGAAATTTATATCCCCTTGCAGTTTGCATTTAATTATAGGATGCTTAGCTTAAAATACTTGAATACTTTAATATTTATCAAAAACAAATTATTAATATTCAAATAAACTTTCTTAAACCTAACTTAGTTATTGATATAAATATTATATATCAGAAGTGTAAACAAAACTGACTCGAACCCTTAAACCCGAAGTCAATATTAATATTATAATTTCCATAATATCTCTGTTAAAATCTGCCTGCAAAAGCTGTTTACATTTAAGGTGACGACAACATCGGGATTGTAACAAAGATATATTAAATGAATACTGGAATTTCGTGTCAGCTCTCAGTTCAATAACAATTTCAATACATTTTTTTAGATATCGATCGGCGAATTCAAATGAACGGAAGCAATCAAAAACCGATCGATGACAAATAACGAAACGGGAAGCGCCGCGTAATTAGGTAAATGAAAAATAAGGGTTCATAAAACCGAGTACTCACTTTTTACTGTACTGAAAATCGAATTGAGCCCATGGTGGTGTGCCTTTGGTGATGATGACGTTGGGATGCTGCGCGATATCAGAAGGCTGAGACGACGATGGACCCAGACTGAGAACCAAACTGAAGCCCGGGCAATTTGTGCAATTTTTCTTGTTTAGATTGTTTTCGGTGTTTGTCGTTTTGTCGCCGGGACTGTGTGTGTGTTTTTGGTTTTATGCCTGCGATAAGCCCGCACACTGCCCATAACCATTCTCATATTATTTGTAAGGATTTTTGCATTTATTGCCAGCGCTTTTCAAGGATTTGCGCTGGCTCCCAAAAACCAAACCAAACCCAAACCCAAACTCAAACCCAATCCGATCCCGGTCCGAATATGGCTGCAGTAGTTATCTTAATAGTTATCAGCCGATTGTTGTTGATGCTGCAGTTAGTGCGTGAAGCGGCCACTTTATTTGCCAGTTAAATTTGATGCCATTTAACGGCTGCTGGAATGGAGGCGTTTTGCCCTCTTGTGCCGTAAATCCAGTAAATTGCCCCAAATTAAACTAAACTATGGGGAGCAGGAAAGGGAAAGATGTTTTGAGGATGACAAAACCGTGTTGAAAACTTGTAAATAAACTGCCCGGAATGAGAGCAACAGCAATTACATGCCTCGAATTATGTACAAAAAGAAACCATAATTCAACACGAAACTCCAACCCTCAAAAGGAAATATCTACAAGGGTTGTGTGTGTGCAACACCCAAGAAATGCATCTTGAAGGTTCCCGATGACAGATACAGGGACTACCTACAGCAGATCATATCCTCGCTCGGGATACGATGACAGAGTGATGAAAGGATGCGGAATAATTCCCCCATTCGCGATGACAGCTTGTCAGTTGACAATCATCAGCAAGTTGGTATATTAACCGTGTTAATTACTCACCAATGGCATAACTCTGTCATGTATAACTGAAGGTTAAGTAGAGCAGATGTTTCACTTAAAATGGAAGTGAATAAATAATCAAGGGGTTATATATCAACTACATTTTATCATATTAAATTAAATAAATTTTCCTTTTGTTCTCACCATTAAATAACATTCACTTTCTAACTCTTAGTTACATTCCATTATTTTATGATTCACCTGGGCCCATGTAAATGACATTTTCACATCGAAACCAGTTCAAACATCTATCAGCATGAGCCACCAAAACATATTGTTTTTCTTTATATATTTTTAAAGCCAAGACAAAACACACACTCACTCAGAACTCAGCGGGTGTCCGTCATTAAAAAGATGACAAAGCGATGTCAACAAGAAATTTTTTGATTAACGACTAAAATGCCAGAGAGCCAAACGCGATCGGGCTCTGAGATCGAAGTGGGGACTTTCGGAATGGAGACAACACATCCAAATAAGTTAACCAGAAAAAAACCAGAGAAAAAATAACAAAAAAGCTAACGATTTAAAAAAAAACCGATGAAACCAGGCAGCAAAATTTGTTGAAGGTAAAATATCAATTTAAAAGGCCATAAAAATATTTCATTGCTATGGATCAGATCAGGCTCTGGTTGGTACGAACCGATCGTCGATATTCTGTTTCGATTTCGAATTAAAAGATTATGACGATAATAAACTTTGACTAATCATTTTTATTACACTGCCCCAGGCGCACCATCTGTTTTACCACGAAAAATCTTGGAAATCGTTTTCTCAACTCGGCTTCTTCTTTCCCAGAACTCCGCCTTCGATCGAGATAAGTCCCCCAGAAGGGAAAAGGAAAACTCAAAGATGGTTTATTAATTTTTCATAACTTAAATACATATATATTTATTTTGTTCTTCTTCAATAGATTTATTTATTTTTTTTTTTGTATTTGTTTCTTGTTTTGGGTTGCATAATAAATTATGAGACTATGCTTAATGCTTACGAACAGAGAGTGAGACACGGTTTTGCATTTTCGTGTATAATTTAATTGTGGTAATCAATACGTGTACGATCGCTTATATCTAGGGTTATCCTTCAATGAAGGCAAATTAAAGAGAGTGTGTGTGTGGTGTGTGTGGGGTGTGTGTTTGGGTGGGGATTGTCCCCATTCTTTTCGGCTAACAACTAAATTAACTATGAATGTTAAGATATCTTTTGTGGTTCTCTCATCTGTGATATGGAAAGCATTTAGCTGGGGCCTCATTAGGAGCCCTTGCAGTTCGTAATTTGTATTTGTTTTTTTTAACATTTAATATCACAATTTCTCATATATATTTTTTTGTTTAGATTTTCTTCAGTTTTTTTTTGTATTCCTAACCCATTCTCAAAGCAAAGCGTTTTGGATTTCGAAATGTGTGTGTTTAATAATAATAATTATAATATGTGTGTGGTGTGTTGTTTTTATACGAAGTATTTACACAAGTGGAAAATAAATCTAATTTACGAATAGTAGGAAACAAAAGCCTGCGCTCGGCGTTCGCATCTAAATTTATAGCATGTCATATTATTGCACATTCCAAATAGATTATTAACATGTTGTGTGTGTGTTTGTTTTGGGTGTGAGGGGTTTGGTTATAATATATCATATGTATTTACATATATATATATATCTGCTTGAATCTTGCTTAGGTACCTATTATATTTATATTAGCATATACCTTAAGTTTTTGCTTTAAATTCGAATTTTGATTTTACTACGCCTTCACTTCACTTCTGCTGCTGTTGCTGCGACTTCAGATACGGATACGGATACAAAGATACATCCGTTTTTTTAGTTTTGGTTCCGAGTGGAACATGAAACGTTATCAGTCTCTCCATTCCCAGCCGCCTTTGGTTCGCTTTTTTTTTATCAGCTGGAACACAATCGCTTTTGATGCATCTTTGGATACGTTTCATGATCCAACCCAGGTATTGGTATATAGTTTATATATATTTATGTTCTCCTGGAACTCATAAAAATTGTTTATGAATTCTTCTCCGGGTGAGAGCGTTCGATCATAGATCATATAGCTCCCTTCTCCTTTCGCTCGGCGGAACAACAATCAAATAATATTTTTTTTTGTGGCAACATTTTATAAATATAAAAAGATTTGTGTACACCCCGCTCTCTCCCTCTTTATCCTCCTCTGTTGAGATCATTTGGTTGCGAGAATCGATTGCATCTTGACTGTGTCTGGGATGATCACTGAATTGGGATGATCGCCGGCCATGTTCTGGGAGTTACAAGGATATTCTGTAACGCATCCTCCCGATCTTGATCGGGATCGTGCTATCGGTAGCTGCGTGTGTTTTGCTTATTTGTGATGACCTTTACACTCACTCAACTGTAATTAGAGAAAGGAAATAGGGAAAAGAAATGGTGAGTAACAGTGAAATAATGAAGGTTTTTGGGTAGGGTTTTCTATAATTCAGATTAAATATAGACAAAAAATAAGTAAAAAAGAAACCTTTCTATTGAATTTAATTGGAAATCTAGTTTCAAATTAATTTAAAATATTAATACCCCTTTTAAGATTAAAAACCCCTTTCAAATATGTAAGTAATCCAAGATTTTGGGGTTGGGATATAGGAAATGGATAGGAAATTAAAGTAAGGACTGCCTTGGAAGACTTACATTTCACGGCACGATTTCTGAAGGTCTCCTGCTCCATGTCGCGGATCTTGTGGGTCAGCATGTGCTGCTTAAGGTTGCCCTGCAAGAATTAAAAAAAAAATAATACTTTAATTGGTATTTTCCTTTGATTTTAACTCTAACTGATTCGAATCCCATTTTAGCTTGAAAACCCCCGCAGTTACTTCGATTGCATCCAAAACTCACCTTGGTGGTAAAGCCGCGATCGCAGATGTTGCACTTGAAGGGTCGCTCCTTGGTGTGGCTTCTGTAGTGAATCTCCAGCGCCGAGTGGCAGGGGAATGTCTTGTAGCAGATGCCGCAGGTGGTGCTTCCACGGACGCCACTGAGTGCCAGGGGATTGAATGGAGCCGCCGGCATTACGGATTGAGCGATCTGATTCATGGCATTGCACATATTCTGTGTGGTGGCGGGCGGAAAGAGTGGCAGATTGGGAAACATGCCAAAGGGCGGCCGGGCACCCATCAGCGGGTTGGGTGGACCACCGCACCTGGCACAGGTCCTCCAGGACCACTCTCTGTCCTCTGATTCGGTTGCGGGGAATTCTGACGCTGAGCAGCCGCTGCTGCCGCCGCCGCTGCAGCTGCTGCTGCGGCCTTTTGCTGCTCCTCCGCCGCCTGGCGACGCAGTTGCTCCTGGTGCTGATGCAACGCTGCCATCTGCTGGTGGTGATGATGCTGTGCAGCCGCTGCAGCAGCCACTGCTGCCTGTTGCTGCATCAGATGTTGATGCTGCTGCTGCAGATGATGCTGGAGGCCAGGAGGCAGACAATCAATGCCCACAGTCGGTGGCAATGGGGACGAGAGCAGGGAGGCGGCGGGTGCATGGACATTGGGACCACTTGGAATACTGGGACTCCTGGGCCGATTGGTGGACTCACAGGCTCCTCCTTGGGCAGCGGTGATCGTGAGCCGGAACTGGAGGTAGGAGCAGCTCGTGGCGTGAGATCCAGAGCTCCCTGGGAGGCCTCGGAGCGAGCAGGTGAGGCACTACGTTTCGGCACAAGGTGTGGTTGATTCACCGATGGGGATGTGGGCGCCGAAGTGGAACCCGCCGAGTGGCCATGACTTGAGGCAGAGGATCTTGGTCGCACGGAATTGGTGTTCACCGCATCGAGACGTAGCTTCTGTTCGAAGAGCAAAGATTTGAAGTCATCTCCTGATCTTGGCCTGTCGCCCTCCTGCTCCAGATGGCTGTTGGAGAGATGCTCCGAGGACACATCATCATCGAATTCCTCCCCGCAATCCATGTTATCATCCAGATCTCCTTGAGAGGATTCAGACCCCAGTCCACCATTGTGCGCTCCATGATTGGGAGCTCCAGGAGGTCCTCCTGGACCGCCTGGCAGGGCACCAAAGTGGAAGGCAGCCGCTGCAAAGGGATTGATAAAATGACCCGGCATCATTGAAGGCGGAGGATCCCTGATCTCCGCTGCCTGGATCTGCTCCGGCGTGAGGTCAGTGGGTTCACCCGTATGCAATCGGATATGCTGCTGCAGGACAAGGGCATTGGAGTACTTCTTGTGGCACACGGGGCACTGATGGAAGTTGCGCATCGGTGGCCGAATCTTATGCACCGCCATGTGGGTCTTCAGGTTGCCCTTCGTGGTGAAGGCTCTTCCACAGATGCGGCACTTGAACGGACGTTCGCCCGTGTGGGTGCGATAGTGCATCTGGAGGGCACTCTTGCAGGAGAGGACTCGATCACAGACGACACACTGATTGGGATCACTGATCTTCTTGTTCTTCATCAGCTCCTTGAGCTTCATGGTCTCGGAGGTGTTGGACACCTCGATGAAGTTCTCCCACGAGTTGTCATTGCTGTGCGGACGTGGCAACAAAGCGGCCATCTCATGCTTGATGGGATTGAAGAACGGTGACCTGGCCATGTGATGCGGATGATGATGTGGCGGCGGTGGGACACCCGGGGGCAGGGCTCCTCCGGCCGGAGATCGCACGGGGGAATGGTGCTCGGGTGAGTGGGTCTTGGCGGTGGTAAAGTTGAGGGGGAAACGCTCGGCAAAGAAATCCTCGCGCGGTGGCAGCTGACCCGGCGTGGGCAGGTGATCTAGGTGGGATTGGGAGCCCGGCGAGGGCTGCTGGTGCATCAGGCCAGCGGGCTGGATGGGCTGCACCACTGGCGGATAGCCCAGGTGGCTGCTGCGGTGGTGCAGGTGATGCTGCTGCTGGTGATGCTGGAGATGATGTTGGTGGTGGTGGTGGTGGTGTGGTGAGCGCTCTACCTTAGGCCTGGGTGAGGGTGATCTCTGTGGTTCCGAGAGACGATCCTGCTCCTGAGTCTGATCCGGCTCATATGTCACACGCTCCTCCTTTATGCTCACCTCCAGGGGCAGAGGTTCCGGTTCCGGCTCTGAGGTTTCTCCACTCTCCTCCTCTCGCTCTTGCTCCTCCTCCCGTTGGTCCTTCTCCTCTGCCGGCTCATTCTTCACCGCCATTTGTCGCTCCGGCTCTGGCTCCTGTTCCTGCTCCTCCTCCTCTTGGCGTGGCGAAGGCTTCCTCAGGTCTGTGGGTAAATCTTGCGGGAAGAACGGATGCGGAGCAGCGGCACCCAAACTATTAAGGATCCCCATGGGCGGGCGGTACAGATTCTGCAAGCCAGGAAAAGCCGGAGCAAACGAGGTGGAAGCAGAGCTTACTGGTGGCGGAGCTGGGGAGTGAGTGGGTGAGCTGTCCGTGGGCGACATCTGATCCAGCAGCGGCGGATGGAACTTGTCCATATGCTCCGGTATGGGTGTGGCATTCATGGGCACGTGCGGGAACTTTTGGGCATGACGCTGGAAGTGAACCTTCAGGTTGCCTTTGGTAGTAAACCGACTGCCGCAGACATTGCACTTGAAGGGTCGCTCGCCGGTGTGGGATCTGATGTGAATCTGGAGGGCAGAGTCGGAACCAAAGACCTTGCCGCAATACCGGCAGCGGTGCTTGAAGAAGGGTTCATTGCGGTTCTTACCATCCGCTGACTTCTCACCGAAAGCGAAATCATCGGCCATATTGTTGGCCAGGATTCCCTGTGAGGCGGAATCCAGCACCTCCTGGGCGCGCTTCTGCAGGAGATCCAGGGAATTGGGCTCCGGCAGATCATCGTGGTGGGTAATGATGCTGGAGGCCAGGTCCGAGCCAAAGGGCAGCGGTGTGTTCTCCATCTCTAGCTTAAGCTTGGCCAGCGCATCCTGGGTGGAGTTCTCCTTGTGCGAGGTCTCCGAGCTTAACCTTCGATTGGGCTGGGACTCATGGTCATGCTCTCGCCTCCGCTTCAGAGAATCACTGGGGGAACCGAGGATTCTCGCAGGGAACACCAGCATTGATCAGATGCTGACGAGCCTTGGGTCCGCCATTCGAGCCTCGGCCTTCTGCCGCAGTCCATGTCCGCAATGCGTTCCTCCTCCTCGTAGGTATCCGTCTCCAGCTCTTGATCCTGATCTTGCTCCAGTTCCTGCTCCTCATCATCGTCGGCAAGCAGCTCCTGCTTGGCCTGGTTGATGGCCAGTTGCGATTGCAGCTGCTGGATGAGCTGGATCTGGAAGAGCTGCTGCTGCTGCAGATTGAAGAGGGTCTGCTGCAGGAAGGCCAGCTGCTTCATGGCTGCCTCGTTGTCCGCCCCCGAGGATCCATTAGCAATCGTTTTGGCCGCAAACTGGGCAATGGCCATCTGCATGTTTTGAATGACCTCGAGGGTCACTGGAGCCCAGCCACTCCTGGCAATGCTACCTGTGTCTCGGGCAGTGCACTCCTCGTGGGCTCATCCGACATTTCTACATCCACCTCGATGTCCTTGTTATCCTTATTCTCCTGCTTGGGAACTCTCTCAATGGCCGCCTCTTCGGCACTGGCCTCAGCCACGGGTGAACTTGGCATAGAGCCACTGGCATTGGGCTCTCGCTCCTCAGATTTTGGTTTGGACATAACCACCATATTGTTGTTATCCTCAACTGTTTCTAGATCTGATTGAAGCGCTTCTTGGCTCTCCTTTGTTGGCTGTTCCTCCTCCTGCTGCGGATGGTCCTGGTGGTTCTGCTGGTGCTGCTCCTCCGGCTCGGGACTGCGACTGGGCTGGCCGTGGTGGTGGCTGTGGTTAGCGGCGAGCAGCCGCCGTTTTCCTCCTGATCGCTGCCTATTTCTGTGGAAATTAAAAAAAGGAAATTTAATTATAAAAAAGGGTTTCCTAACAAGGAGTATTTAAGTTAAGGCAAGAAATAAATTATATTTGCTTTAATATTTGCTATATAACGTGTAAATATTGTACTTAATAGCTCTTCATAAACCTATAGAACTCTAAAATCTCTTAAGTCATATTGTCATATTTTCTTTTGTGTATCTCAAAGAATTCCTGTGCCTCTGTGATTGCAATGAAACTGAAATGGTCAGCGTCTGGTTGGGATTGGGATTTCTGACCATTTCCCGATAACTCAACTACCTGTTGGCCACCCCTCCTGTATCCCCTCTCTGAGCTGCATATGACTTAATCGCCGGCAATTGTTAGCTGCAATGCGTTGATGTTGCTAGGATGCTGCTGCTGCATGCTAGTGCTGCTGCAGTGCTGCTGCAAGTTGCTGCTGCTAGTGGCTGCCAACTGAATGCAATTACATTTCTTGTTGAAGCATGTGTTCTCTCTCCTTTTCCCGCCTGTTGCAGATGTTTTTCCTTTTTTTTCCCTGTACTTTTTTTTCTCATTGTGCTGCCCACAATTAGTCTTTGAGTCGATCGCTGCTGCAATTGTTGCTGCTGCTGCTGCTGCTGTTGCTGCTGCTAACTGATGCTCACTTGTTGCCAGGTGAGCTGTCCAAAGGGGAGAAAGCAGTTGACAGCCGTTTGGCCTGGTCCAGTGCCTCTCTGACTAATTAATCGCGGCGAGCCTAAAAAGCAAACCAAGTCACAAGATTGGTCCATTGGCCACATTTGCCGCACACGCACATAAAATATAATTTATGATAACTTGGAGCCAACGCTCGCTGGCTCTCGGATCGTTCGATATATATAATAAAACATATTTCTGCACAAATCAAACGAGTTGGGCGAGTTTTCTGTTTCTGTTTTCGTTCACAAAAAATAAAAAGATACACAGATACACGGCCTCAGATACGAAGGAGTACAAAAGATACGCAGATAGAGCTTGGATCGGCGACTATCTGCACCATTTGCATATCGATCGCATTAATATTATTTTTATTATTACTTTTCGCTGGCGAATTAATTTCAAAGATTCCATGGAATTTGTTTTTAAAATGAGAATTTTCGTGAGTTCTGGTCACAATTGCAGTTCAAAAACGAAACCGCTCGGACGAGAGGAGTTATGATTATGATTGCCGATAAGTAAAGTGTATTTTAATTAATTGAAATTAATTATAATGCTTGCCATAAACCTCTCAAGGCGGCACCGCACAAAACGCTGAAAATAAAACAACTTCCAATTATGACGAACATAAAATTGTCTCTCTCGAACATGGTTAAGTCATTTTGCAATTGGTAATAAAATTGTTAAATTTACAATAACAATAAACGCCGCTTGTTTATTGTGTCCGATTGCTGCGTTTTGTTGGGGCCAATGCCTTGCCAGAGTTCGGATTCGATTTTTAGTTTTGCCGTATTTTAGTTTCTCGAACGCGTGGGCGCCCCAAAACAAAATATCCAAACATTTAACCGAATCTATCTATATATTACTATATATATACATATAAAATATATATATATCGATTGTGCCAGAGGGAGAGAGGGGGCAGCCGTTTAAAGATTTATTTTTTTGTCTTCCAAAAAGTGTATTTTGTTCTACTGACAACTGAACGCCCCGGGACCGGGACCGGGGCCGGGGCCAGATAAATAAATATGAAATTGTGAAACGAGAAGCTGCTGTCGGCAGGAAATTATATTTCCCATTGTTAAAACACACACAGACACACGCACTAGCCGATTCTATATAAATTAAAATCGCACCAGTTTAAAGGTGGATTAAGTCAAGTCATAAATTCGATTGTGTCTGTTTTTGCTAAATTCGAATGAATTATTCTTGCTCTGCATGCGCAACTAAAGCGAATAAATCCCAGAAGAGTGTTGAGTGTTATTATTATTATTATTATTATTATAATTTTAGTCAATCACCCCCCTTAAATACTCATAATTGGTATAAACCCCCCTCTCAAATGTCAGTCCATCAACTCATTAACCAATGTCAAACTTTTTGGCATTTTATGTGTCCAAATATTTTCAACGAAATTTGCGGTGTGACTGCCAGTCTTGGTTTGCTCATAAATTTTGTTTTGGTTTATTTCAGCTTTCAGCAAATCGATTTTTTACCCCCAAAAAACAACTGAAAACTGGTAAAGTTAAATTAACCGAAACACATTCTAGGAATATGCAGAAGAATTATATGTTAAATTAAAGCTGGTAAATTTATTATACCCCTTGCAGGGTATTATAATTTCAATAAGAAGTTTGGTTAGTAAGTATCAATGAACATTAAGTTACCATGATCAGTAATTAACTATGAGAAGTAAGTATGTATGAACATTAAGTAACTATTATCAGTAAGTAAGTATGATCAGTACGTATCTATGACCAACACGTATCAGTGAACATTAAATAACTATGACAAGTGAGCAACTATGATCAGTAATTAACTATGATCAGTAATATCTATGACGAGTAAGTATGTATGTATGATCAGTAACTAACTTTCAACACTAATAAACAATGACTTGCAACTTTTGTAACACAAAACATATCTGATACTTGGCCGGCAGCAGTCACTTCGTTCCGGGGATGTTAGAACCACTTGGGAATCATATGTACAGATGTGCGAGATTTGTTTTGGAACAAATTTAAGCTATTTGATTGAAACTATGGAGTTATTCTTCTATATAATTTTACTAATATATAATTTGGAGCATGGCGAATCGGTGGACTATATATTATATACATATATATAGCTATCATTGTAACGATTGGAAAATTTTAAGAAAACAAATTAATTATAACTTTTTCAGTTTTCATCAGATTTTCATGAAATTTGATATAAAGTCCTTATATATTAATCTGAACTTTGTGTAAAATTTTCGAAAATCTGACTACTATATCATAAAGCTGCCATACAAAAGTCCTTAAAACTAGAGGATAAATCGAAATGGGGACTGTAAAACTGTAAATAAATAATATATAAGTGAATGAAATGAGAAAATTCCATCTTAAGTAATCCCTTATTTACAAAAAACTGGCAACTTCCTTGGATTCGTGTACCTCCACCTCGACATTTTTCAGTTCATTCCTCTATGCATCGAATTTTGCATACGAAAACGTCGACTTTAGTTCTGGAACTGACTTTCAATTATTCCATCGTCATATTCAATATGCAAATCGGTGCGAACCAACCGTGAGCTCGGTGGCCTGAGGTGAAACAAATGTTCAGCCAATTGGAAAATGCAAAAAGGGAAAAGCAAACAAAAAAAAAAAAAATCCAAAAACGAGTAAACGAAAAAAAAAAAAAAACTACATAAAATATACAGAAAACAGTGCGAGTTAAAAACAGCATAGGCATAATTGAATAATATATCCCAATTCCCCCGCCCGATTGATCCATAGGTCATGCTCTATGTATAAAGAGCTCCTTACTTTTTAAGCATACATTTTTCATGGGTACTTTGTGGCGATTTAAGGCAGTAAATGGCGAAAAAAGCTAAATCGCATAAATAAAAATAATTAAATAATTAATGTCATTAAGTTATGCGAGCGCGAGGGACTTCGATTACAAAATGTAGCGACACAAATTGATGGGAATTTCCATATTTACAAGGGATATAAATGTATGTTTGTATATAAAAAGGTGTGTGTATATATACCCTATATAAATCATATGGAAATAAGCTCTGCGAATCTGCTTCGATTTTCATTTTTTTTGCGATATTAATTTAATTTATTATCCCGCACTAATGAGTTAACATTTATTAATGCCCGGAGCAGCAACAAATACACAACTATACTGTATATATATTCACCTCCTATATGCCATCATATGCGGTGTATAAATAAAAACCGCGCCAAACAAATTGATAAAAGCAAAAAAAAAAAAAATGTATAAAAAAATGTATATTCTCTCACATACAAATGAAAATGTTTATCACCTTTTTTAAAGCTTATGGGCAGCAATTTTCCAAATTTAATGAGAACTCATTTGTAATTAAGGATACACAAATTTATATATATATATACACATTTTAAGGTACAAACAAGGAAACACTTTTGCGCTTTATTCAACTTTAATTTAATACACAAAATATTAAATTGAGTTATATAATCAGACTCAAAAATAAATATCAATAAATATAATTAAGTTCGAAGCTTTCAAAACCAATTAAAAAACACGCCTGCCCGAGAGGCCTCCAAAAAAATCACTAAAAACTCAATCAAAATCAAACTCATTTTTGTGCCTTTCCAAAAACTTACTTCTTGTGTATAAAATGCGACAAAGCCATATTTAAATCATATCGATTTTAAGTTGCTCCATTAAAACGAAATCGATTTTTGATTTATCATAAAAAACAAGATCAACCGAGAAGGGGGGGGGGGAGGGGACCCTAACCAATGGCAGCTGTTAACGTTCAAATTAAAACAAATCACAAAACTGGAAATGCTAAACCAAAGAAATATAATTTATTTGTATAAATTTATACATATAACCGAGAGGTGGGGGAAAACTGGTGCAGTTCTTCTGAATAGTTTTAAACACATTTTGAAAGGGTTTTTCAAATGGCCTGCCTACGTTTTCTAAAGCTTCTGTAAAAGAAGTCACAATTATTAATGTTTCGACCAAAAACAAAAATTATTGTGGTTTCCATTTTCAAGTCTTATCAGTTGAATGGAAAACGGTTAAATCCAGAGCCGTAGGTCGATCAAGAAATACAAGAAACAACAATAATGACAAATTCGATAACCAATTTTAAATGGTTCAAAATCGTATTTCTTTTTTCGGGGGAAAAATGCTTTTAAATTTTTGTTTTATGCTTGGATGTCGGGGAAAGACTTTCTATTTTTTGTAGCTTTGTGTTAAAAGCGTTTACAAATGACAAATGAAACATGTGATAACATAATTTCAAGCAGACAGCTTTTATTTTTTTACATTTTCCCTGTGAAGCAATTATGTCAAAAACAATTTGAAACATTTCAGTTTGAGGCAACAAATAAGTATTATTTTTGTGGAATTTGAATTTGAGTTAAGTTCAATTGTTTTTTTAAATTTTGTTTATAAATTTTCCCTTTGAATTTATGTAGTTCTTTTAAATTTCTTCTTAAATTATTAAACTAACTCAAGAAAATGTATCTCATTAATAGGTCTTATTTGTATAAGTTCACCTAATTTTCCTTTTGCTAACCATCATATACTTTAATTTAAACTTTTCCCTATTAAATAGATTCATTTTCCTTGGAAAACTCACCTTTGTCGGCGCTGCGAGCGCGATCCTTCAGCTGTTTGACAATGCCATATTTCACTGTACCAAATTGTATCATTTTATTGATGGTCTCCTGGTGATTATCCTTGAAGTCACTACGCATCGCACACAGAACGTTGGACAGGTGATTTTTCATCAAGAGAACTTTTCTTTTTGTCGAATGCACTTCCGTTTCGTGAGTGTTGCTTGTTGGGCTTTTTTTTTTTTCAAATATATTTTCTAATCATTCTGGTTGAACATTGCACTGTGTTTGTCATATTTTTTACAAAAATGATTATTTTGTGTGTGTGTTTTCACCGAGCGAAAAAATAACTGAATAAATTTTCGATTTTCGTTTCTTTTTCTTTCGATTTGAATTCTCGACACTTTTACGTTTTGCCGTCGGCAGTGAGTGGAGGCGTATATACCGCTGGCCTTTGCCCGTGCGCCTCGATTTTGTTAACTGAATTGATGCAATGTGTTTAGCGGAGGGCTAAACTACGGCTGCCCGTTGTTGATTGTCATCGTTTTGTCAGAATTTTCGCGGAAAACGCAGAGTCGTCGGCTGGTTTGGGAAACTGTGCGCGTTACGCATACGCAACGTGCCTCTGCGAACGTTCAGCAGCGCGAGTCGTCGAAATCACACTGACACAAACAAAAACAGCCGCTCGACCCGACACTTTGCCTCGGCGCTCGTCAGCGTTCGGCTTTCGCCATTCGCCGTTCGGCTCTCTAGCGCTCGGTGTTCGGCGCTCGCCACTCGTGAGCGCAGCAACCGGTTTCGCTCGTGTGTGTGTGTGTGTCTGTGCATTTTTATTATTACAGCAACTGGCATATCCTGACAGTCATTCAGCTTCAGCCAACCCACCTTATGCTCACTCACACACACACACACTCGGACACGCTCTCTCGCTCGCATTTCATATAATTTTTCATATGCGCCCTCTCGCTCCCTCTCATCATAATTTTTATTAAATCGCCCCGGCCTCTCACTCGCACGCTGTTACTGTTACTGTTGCCAGCCCTCTCGCTCTCAAGAGGGAGTGTTGTATTTTTTTTGTGTTTTGTTCGCTTTTGCTCAGTCGCAGTCGCAGTTTTTACCTGAGAAGTGAGAAACGAGAGAACTGAGACGTTTATGAAACTTGTTCGGCAAATTATGAGCTTCTCTCTCGCCGCAAAAAAAAAAAGAAAAAGGAAAGAAAGAAAGAACAACAAGATATGGGGAAGGCTATAGTGCACTGACTATAAAAATACCGGGCACACTGTGGAGAATATTATGTGAAAGGTTGATTAAATAGAGTTTGCTTTGGATAATCAAATAAGATTAATACTTTTTGCAACTGCTGGTAATTAACATTATGAATTATTTTAAATTTGTGGTCTAAAAAGGACCGTTAAAAGCTAATTAAAACCGAATCTGCTAGCTATAGCTCCCATATTTCCCAAGATAGATAGAATATCTTTATGATAAGCCAATTCCCAGTTACTTGCACATACAAGCACACTGTATACCCCTTGAACTCTTCGAATAGCGGGCACAATAAGCTGCGTCGACTGCGACTGCGACAGTGGCAGCGACTTCCTTCCGCCTTTTGTGGCTCACCTTTGCGCCATTGTTGTTGTAATATTCTTCACTCTTTTTAGGGGCAAGCTCTCGTCCTCTCTCTCTCTCTCGCTTGCTTATGCTCTTGCTCGCTCTCACTCGCACTCCCGATTAATAATTTATCATAATTTATGGGAGAAACCCCCAACCCCTCTTGCCTTTGGGGCCCTTGGGCAGACAGCCATCTCGCTTGCACTAGGTGGAGCGCCTGCCATTTGTTGCGCTCTCCCGTTCCCGCTCTCGCTCGCTCGTTTCCTGTCTCGCTCTGGAGCGCAGTTATGAGCGCTACTATTGTTGCTATTATTGTTGTTGTTGTTGCCTTTTTTAATTTCGGTTTTATAAGATTTTGTGTTCTTTCGCTATTGTGTTCGTGTATGGAATCCACCACCACCACCAATGCCAACACCACCACCGACACGCGCCCCCACCCTCATTTATTGAAGAATTCTGACTTGGGTGACTTCGCTTATTCGTCGGCTTGTGTGTATCAGTGAGTGTATTTGTTTGTGTGTGTGAATATTATGAGCCATTCATCAAAATGTTTCTTTTCGGTTTCTTTTTGACTTTTTGGGCAACTCCCACTTCTTTAATTGTTTTTATCCCCTCTCTTCTGTTTTAGGAATTTTTAGCACTTCAAGTTTTTGTTTTTTAATAAGAGAAACTTTTGTACCTGTTTCCAAATATTTAATTGCAAATGTTCTTTTGTTTTCCCGCAACACCTGTCGGCGATAAAAACTTTTTTGTTTCCAATTTTAATTGCAAATTCTTGTGCGATTTATAGAAAACGCGTGACAAATGAATTATGATTAATTCAGTCTCTTTAAAGGTCTCTTTTGAAGGACTGTGACTTACTTTTAATTGTTTATGGTAAATCCATTAAGCAATTTAAAAAAGTTATTATAATTGAAAAAACATCTGGGAAAGTTGGAAGAAACTTAAAAATTACATTGAGTTTTAATGGGATTTGGATAAGTCCCTAGGAAAGGTTTTTAAATAAGTGGGAAGTGAAAAAAAAATTGATAAATTTTACAATTAAAAAACTTTTTAAAATGCCAGTTGCTGGTTATTAAAGGAATAACTTAAACCTAACTTAGATTAACACTGTTATTCTAAATTATTTCCAATAATATTTATAATTATCCCTTCCAAATCATGATTTAAAAGCAAGAAATCACGAATTAAGAAACTATCAAAGACTCTTTTGGCAGGAATCTACTTACCTTACTGCCAGAAATATCCTTGGAATTCTCCGCTGCAAGTTGACTTTATTACGGTACCTCCGGGAATGTGATGGAGTCGCGTGCGACAGAGAGGGCACGATGAGGCTCCTCGGGAAAAGAACAACAATAAGCTGGAAATAAAAGGAGGCATTAATAACGCCGTCGACGTTGACGTCGCTACTGGCAGCATGGCAAAGTGGGTGTGGGGGATGGGGCAGAGGCTGTCATAAATTCTGGTGAGAGCGAAAGAAACCCGAAGAGAGCGCCAATAAAATGAACAGTAAAGCGAAAGCGGGTGAAGAAGGGGCGATAATACATATTAAAAGGCGAAAGAAAGACGGCAAGTAGCAAAAAGAAAAAAAAAAAAAGGAAGAATAGGGCGAAAGAAGGGTGGGGCACCAATAAGAAAAAGCCACCAACACCAGCAAACAGCACCCGAGGGCATGTGTGTGTGGCGGAGAGAGGGCTTGTTTATGTACAAGGCAAATACATAATTCATAACGCTCATATTCGCTCATTTTGCGTCGACCAACGAAAAGCGGATCTGCCTTTTCATATCTGCCATCATATTCACACCCACACTACAGTGCCGCACTTAAACACACACACACACACTCATACAGCCCAGCGCAGCAGACAAGTTTTTGATAGACTCTCATAATCATAACGAAAACAACAACAGCGAATCCGCATCGCTGCCTCTCGCTCTTCGATTACTGCTGCCTACAGGTTGCCTTCTCTCTCCCTCTCTCCCGCCCTCTCGCTCTCTCACTGCGCTCTGTGCTCATTTCCGGAATGTCAGCTATTTCTATCGCACTCTTGCGCGCTGGCCCGCTGTTACTTGTGCTGTTACTGTTAAAAGTCTTATACGCCCTTAACGGTGGCGATATCGAAAATGTTAAGACTTACCGAAAATCAGGGGAATGGCGAAGATTAACAATGCTGTCGAAGTTCTGGAATTCGAAATAAAATCGGAAATAGTTTTTTTTCGAATTATTTAATATCCGTTATGAAGTGTTAATATTAAATAATAAATTTGACTTTTTAGTTTCAAAGACGACTAGTTTTTATTTTATTTCGAAAAGAATTGAAAGTTTCAATTTAAGAAAAGAATATTTTGAAAATTCTATTTTTGATTTTTACAATTACTTGACATTGATCGTTTTTTTGTTAAAGAAGATATGTTTACTTTACTTACAGCATTGGCAATGCTTGCTACTTACTTTATAGGCTCGTTTTAGATAATTTAAATTTTCCAAAATGGGGTTTATTTACTAAATTCTTTTAAGTTTTCTATTTAAAATCACAAAAACCTTTAATGTTTATGCAGATTAAATGGCGGCCAGTCATCGTTAAACGTTTGGTATGGGCACGATATATGGATGTTCGATGTCTGGCTATGAATAGAGATAATCTTCAAAATCCATTAGCTTCATAACCATAAACAATGGCATGGATATATTTTATATTTTTAGTCGCTAAAACTCAATAAGGTCAGCCATGGAATTGCTTAATTAACTTGCGACGAGACAGCGTTTTATCTTTTTTTATTTTTGGTGGAAGAAACTTGTCATAACATTTGAGATTTGTGCTAAAAGCCAAAATGGTCGCCAAAATATGTTTACGAGTATTTTTTTTAGGGGATCTGATAGATTGCCTTGAAGCTCTAGTTCTAGCTTGGAAAATAAAATAAAATAACCCACTAAGGTCAATATACATAAATTAATAAATTAATTAAAGCTACGAGTAGCAAGCAAATGAAATATTTTCGGTTCCATTTTAATTCGTCAAATGTAAATAGTATTTTAATTTATGTCTCTTAAACTCTTAGAATAACCCCATGTTAACTAAATACATTGTATAATCAGATATTGGCATTGTGATTACCTTTCCATTAATTATTCATTTATATCAATCGATTGATTAGTAATCAAAAATTGAATCCGAGTTTTGTCACCCCGATTTTGATTTCGATTCCTATTCCTACGACCTTATCGCCGGGCGTTAATCTTTAAACGAATTTCAATATATCCCTCTGCGGTCTCTTTGTTGCCCTAATTTAAAATCCAAAACGAAAACAATGTAAGTAGGAAAACCCAAAATGAAATGCAACTGAAATAAAATAAAAAACGGAATTACTTCCGTTCGGTTTCCCCTTGGGCAAAATTTATGAGGCAGGCCACTCAGAGGATCCTTTTGCCGCTATAGCGGTGGCCTCAAAGTCCCCGAAGAAAACCCCTCTGGAAAATCTTTATGGAAAGTGAATGGGAATAGGAAAATGCGTCGAGCATTACAAATATCCAGCGATCTTTGGGCATAATTATTGGCCACTCTGAGGAGTCCAAACAAACTTTGTTTTCAGGCCTCAGGCACGTTCCTACTCGGCTTTT